TTTAGTTTTGGGTTGTACCAGTGGCGCACACAGAAGAGTTAAGTGGCTGAAGCCTCTCCTATTGACCGTATTTGGACATATATATATATGTTACGGTCAAAAGCCGAAATCGGACGGATCTCAGTAATGCCCGGGCAAAACGCGAAGTGCCTGCGATGCTTGGGCAAAACGTTATATTTCGGCTTTTGCCTTGATAAAACCTAGCTGTGAATAGTCTCATTCGGGAAAATCTGTCAAGGTCATACATTTATTTTATACATATATAAATACATAAATCTAATAAATTAACATACTTTTGACCAAATTATTATAGATTTTTTTTTTTTTTTTAATCAGTTAGAAATAAAAAAACGAAAGTGTACAATTATTTGTTTTCTAAATAAAAATAAAGTTTTTGTAAAAATAAAAAATTACACAAACATTTATATTCAATAAAATACACAGAGCCTTATGGGTAAATACAATTTCAAAGCCTATTTCCCAACAGTCACAAAATGTGACAGTGGCCCTTCTTGCACCAAGCCACATATACATTTTGTATATTTTTTAAGTGCCATCTGTAATAATAATTAGTAAATAAAAACTTTTTTTTCATAAAATACACTATTTTCGTAATTAAATAGTTTAATTTACCACCGCTATCTGACAATAACCTTACTATATTATTTTTCAAGTGGTTTTTGTAGTTTTTAAAAACCAACTCTAACGAAAATATTTCGAAAACCGAATTATGAATTTCGTGTTATTATTATTTAACCACACAACAACTTTTACAAGGAAAACTTAAGATGTAAAAATAAATAAATTATTACAATGCCAGTTTTCCACTGCGAAAATATAATTTTATCGCTTGAGTAGTATGAATTTATTTACATTTATTATATTATTTTATGTATCATTATATTATTTTGCTGCTATAAAGCAGCAAAACGCTCCGTGGAACCGAGAAATTTGGCCTCTCTGATTTGGCTGCTTTTTATAGCAGCAAAACGCTGCATAAAACTGAATAATTTGGCTTCTTTGATTTTACGAAAATTTGAGACTCGCCGTTATTGTAAGACTTAATTTAGCAGCAAAACGCTGCATAAAACCGAAAAATTTGACCTCTCTTACTTGGCTACTATTTTAAATATTTTTTGTAAATAAAAACAGAATTATAGTTATATTTTTATATTTTATGTTTTTAATATTTACAAAACAATGCAATTTTTAATAATTTTAATTTTATACAATGTATAACAAATATGTTTTTCTTAAATATTATTTTACAAGTTTTCTTACTTCTCTAGTTAATGGTATTGTATTCTACAACACGATCATGAATTAAAATACAATAAGCTGTTGTACCTTTTAAATTTTATGAGGCTTCTATTTCCTAACTTTCACGGACTGAAGAAGCTGTTGCTTCTTGCGAGCAACTTCTTTTGAGTCACTAAGTTCAGGATATTCATATGTGTCGTATGATCTAAACGGAATAAATAACCTTTTTTCTTTTTCTATATTTTGCATTAACTTTAATCTTTAGTAATCATCTACACTCACATATGGAATTTTCCAGACTATTTTTTTAATTTCCAGTGCACCAGTAGTTGTCGATAATGTTAACCCTGCAACTTTTTTTAATGAATCAACATGTTTCCTTGTTAATATTAATTCAAGCCGTGAATTTACTAAAATCCTCGACAAATGTCATTTGATGGTTCAGTGGAATATATACACAATATACACAAAAATATTCAGAAACAGTATCTGTTATAGATTTATCGTTTTTAAAAGACCCACCTGCATTTTGATAGCAACTATATTCATCTGATACACGTGACAAAAACCTTTTATCGAGCTAGTTACCCTTAACGCACCAGTTTCACTATATTAATTTCAAATCTTACTTGGTCAAATAGTTGAGATGTACCGTTATTAAAAAGACTAGCTTCATCCGGTTCAGCTATTTTTCCCTCAATATAAAGAAAACTTTCATGAAGATATAGATACGCGTCGGACTGTTGAACTAATATCGTTATTGAATCATTATATCTATACAAATTTGTATGTGGAATAAACGAATGGTATTTAATTTTGGTTATTCTCGTGTCCGTTGTGTAACGAGAATCAACGTCTAATATTTTGCAATCAGACATTTTTTTTTTTGATTGATAACCAAGCGTACGAAGAATATTTTTACTTATAACCGTCAATTTCCGCATTATTTTTTTTTTTTGACATTGACGGATAAGCATCTATATCATCGTTAGTTAGATTATATGGAGGATCTTCTTTTATAAGCTTATTTTTTTTAAATGTTAACCCCATGTGTGCGATATCTTAAATGTAGAACAACTGTTATTTTTTCTCAGAAATTATGTATAGAGTTCTGATCTTGATCGACTAGCTCTATATAATATATTTTATCGAATATAGGTGTGTTCAGTTTGTAATATATCGAATTTGATCGTCTTTCAACTATTTTGGATTCAGTTACTCCCGTACGGAAAAATTCACGAATTGAACGAAATGGCTTATTGTTACTGAATGAACTTTGAGCTATGTTACATATTACTTCTACAAAATTTATTGGGTTTATATCAACTAGGTTCTCAGATATCCACCATTCGGTTCATATATTTTTGTATTAAACTCTAATATTGCCGATAAACTATTCGGTATACTAAAGTCAACTGGATAATTACATCTAAATCTGATCTCAAATGAAATAATAGATTTCGACATTTCAAATACAATTTTTTTAGTCGATAACATCCAGTTGACACTTCAATCACAAAGTGTTCGTCATCTTCAATCATTTTGAATCGTTTAAATCATTTTGTTTGATACTCGGATAACCATTTTATTATTAGCTTCGTTTACATTCTGGAACGTATTATATGTTTGCAAGCCAAGTTGCGTAATTTCAGTTTTCATGCACGCTTATAGGTGGGAAATAAATTGTAGATATTTATGTTTTTACACCTGTCAAACTTAAAGTAACTGCTTCATACACTGTAAAAATTCAGGCCATAAATAACCGCATATAAATGTATTGTAATTCAGCTGATATTTTGTGTAGTTATAATTAATATTGTAACCTTTTAAGTAAATCTGTAATTCAGCTGGTGGATGTATATCACCGAAACTATAAAAAAAAAAAAAAACAATTTTATTTTGACTTTTATAACATGCCACCTTGAGTTCCTTCACCTGTAGCTGAATCCAAGTTTATTACTCCACATTCAATATTATATGTTTTTTAGTTAAGCTGTCTCGTGAAAAAACTTCTCAGAAATCAACAATTTTCAAATTTTCAATGTATTTTTTTATGTCTTGACTTGTTAGAGCACGGTCAGGGAGAGTTATCGATTTTTTTTTTTTTATGCCCTTTTACCTGTAGGAGGATTTAAGTAAAATCCGCTTCCCTTTTTTCTTTTATATGCGGTATATACAGCTGATGCACCTAAAGCTAGACTCCCGAGTACCGACAAACCTGCAAATATCGATATTAACGGTAATACACCAGCTATTTTATTTGGATTGAAAATTATTCTTCTATTTTCCTAGTCAATTTTTTTTCTTTCTTACACATTTATTACGGTTATTACAACCTATCCCCATTTTCCGTTTTATCTTCATAGCATTCGTTACCATATACTCGATAGCTTTTTCTTTCTTCCAACTACCTGTCACCTTCACTCTTTCCCACGCTCGATTTTCTATCTGATTCGTATTTACTATCCAAATTACTACTATTCGAATATGCAATATCGTGGTCACGACTACTACTTTAGGAAACCTCTTCCAGTCTTCTTTGTTTTATACGTTTAGGGTGGACAAGAACTTAATGACTGATTGAATATATTTTGTATACGTGATATTTATGATGAAATTAATCGGACAAAAAGATAAACTAGTAGTACAAAATGTAGATATTCAGAAAACTAAAAAATTGGCAAGACACAGCACATTATTACCGGATATCATTCGAGCGATTATTGTCGGTCCTTTAGAATCGCGGAAAACTAATGTAATATTTAGTCTTATAACCAATAAAAATAGTGTTAAATTCGAAAACATTTATTTACTAAAACACCTGATCAGGAAAAATATATTTTATTGAAAAATATAATTAACGGTGTAAAAGGCGTACTTATTGATATACACTAATGCCTATCGAGTGATTAAACCGAATTTAACAAAACGGAACTTCATTTTTATATTTGATGATGTTATTTGCGGTAATAAAATACCTATGCGTGATTATTTCAGTATGGGAAGATAATCGGGAACAAACTGAATATTTTATTTAGCGCAAACATACTCGAAAATACCTAAACTACTTGTGAGAGATAATACTAACTTTCTTATAATATTTAAACAGGATAATACAAATTTGAAACATATATATGCTGATAGTTATTCGGCTGATGCAGATTTTTCAGAATTTAGAAAATGTGTTGTTCATACTGGAATCGGGAGGATTTATAGTTATTGGTAAAACACAAGAAATGAATCTAGGTAAATATAGATGCGGTTTCCATTCATTTATAATCATGGAATAGTGTATAAATATAGCGAACATTCATATTTTTAGTTCATTAAGTGAAAATGATTGCAAGTGAATAATTATTGAAAATGCTAATATCGATAAAACAAAATATGAAACGGAAAGTTATGAGTATAAAAAGAGGTGTTATAGATACCGAACAGTCGTTTAATGAAACTTTTAAACCTATAATTAATCCACTGAATTTAATCGCAGTAGAAATTAGATTATTCAAAATGAACGCAGTCTCCGCAAAATACTAATGAAGAAGTTAATAATTTATTTAAAACTTCAGTTTGTCAGTTCAATCACTTTTTCGAAATATTTCCTGAAAATAGGGTATACGATAAAACATATGATCTACATTATGAAAAAACATCTGAAAACTTATTTATAGGAGAATATCCGGTTGATTTTATAGGCGATTCTATATTAGTAATAGACGATCGTAAATATAATTGGACATATGGCCATTGGTCTTTGTTATGTGAAAAAATACCAAAAGGAGTTACGCAGGCCAATAATGAAAGTTATTTGGAAATACTATATTAAACTAAAGTTTATCCGAACAAGAATCGAAAAACCTAAATCGCCCAACAGTATTGAATTGAAAAATATTGTTAAACCTCTTTTTGAACGATTAAAAGACTATAAAACCCTAAATGATTCTAATAACAGAAAACTCAACAATAAAAGTGCTCACTTAGCTGATGCTATTCTTCAATCTGAGCTATTCAATTTTGTATCGAATTCTTTGAAAAAAGGAGATGGATTATATAAAGATAAAATGAATAGGACTCAATTAGTGTATTATGATGGTCCTAACGAATTAGTTACAAGGCTAAATTTTTTAACTTCTTCAAAGACTGTACAAAAGAAACTTTATAAAGTAGAATATACTTGCACACAGTCAAATAACATGAAGACCTTGAGCAATATAGCCGACGAATATTTCTTAGACGAAAGTTATATCTCTTTTCAAGGATGATCTTTGGCAAGCATACTTAATAGGTATGCAATAGTATTCTAGGAAAAACAGTGGATTTAAATGTATTTTAATTATAATCGACCCGTATAGGTACTAAATATGTATGGGTACAATCATTAAAAAATAAAAACAGTGCAGAAGTTACAAAAACATTTTTAAAAATATTAGAAACTAATCAACCAGTGTAGGAGGGAAGTTTGGAGGTAGGATACAGACGGGAATTTAATTTACATCTGTAAGCAACGATAAGCCATTGCTTACAAAAACACGATTCTGAGTGGAGTTCGGTTGATAGTGATGTTTCGTCAACAATATATATGTCATTTTATAGTGAAATAATTAAAAAAATGCTTTACATATTTTCTTTAATTGTACCGATTTTTCCGGTTCTCCTACGTTTTTCCCGGTTTTTCAAATTTAATTAGAAAACTTCAGAAAATCGAAAAAGTATCTTTTTCAAGTAGCTTTTTTAGTATCTTTTTCAAAAAGTACCTTTTTCAAGTACCTCCCTAGTGAAATTTTCTTTCAGAAAAAGTGCTACACGTAGAAATCCGAGCAAGTCTTTTGGTAAAAAATTGCGCACATATAAAAAAAATAAAACATCTTTGTAAAACAAAAAGCTTTTTCGCTTCATTAAGAATCTAAAATTAAATTAATATACATATATATTATATATATCGCATAACAATATTCATATCGTATTATCAAGGTATATGACGACATGATCTAAAAGTTTAATAATTATATTAATTATAATAATTTACAATTTATTTAAAACATTTTTGAGACCGTAAATGACGTACGTAATTAAAATTAATATGCCAACTCGTACAATAATATTCATATCAATATAGGTAAAAAACAACATTATGACAATCATTCGATTCTAAAATTTTCCAAAACAAACATCATACTGAAATTTTATTACTTATGAAAATATTATTTTACATTTAGCCGATAAAAATGGATCAATACAGTGGATAAACCGATTTTGAAGACAGCACCAGTGATGTATGTGGTTTCTTTTGGTTTACTATTTTTCAACATAACAGCTAGTATTATTTTCATAGTAATACATATACATCAATGCAATCTATACCAGCTGTGAAAAGCGCATCGTAAAAAACAAAAAAAAGAATCGAAAAAATTAAAAAAGCATTACAAATTACAAAAGAAGTAAAAACTATAGATTTTTAATTACATATAATAAATTTATATTTTCAGACAAATAATTTCTATGAAAAATTACTAAAATCTTATACACAAGTAATCGAAATTAAACCAGAGAATAATTCAATATACATACGACAAAATGATCGAAACCACATGTGGAAAAAGTAAACTAAGGAAAACGCTATAGATTATTGGGTATATTAAACCATTACAAAACCAAAAATATGAAAGATGCGGTACTTAATGGACAGTAATTTTAAATTAATCTATAACAAAATATAGTGCGTGTATTATATTTTTATAAATTTTTAGATGGAAACTTTCAAAATGTTCGATAAAACTATAAACAGTTAAAAGTGATTCTGAAAACCAACATTTTGTAAGAAAAATGAACGTGGTGTTTCAGGCAGGGTTAGGCAGATTTATTAACGATTTGGTCACAATTGCTAGTAAATTTTATTTTAACATTTATTAACATTTATTTTCACAAAATAGATCAGTTAAACTAAAACCATAGTTTTGTATAAAGGTGTTTACAAATGTGTTGCATTGACACATTTCCGGTAAATTTTGAATATCTTGTTTCAATAACAAGTATATAAGATCAAAACACGGTTAACATATATTTAATTCACTCTGTTTTTTCATAATATAAGAATCAATACAAAGTTGTACTTTTTTTAACCGCAATATATTATAAAAAGTTAGTGTAATACGATCCGCACCAGTATGTAAAGTATTGTTTCGTTTTTTGGGTTGTTTGAATAATTAAAGTTGTTATATATTATACTTAATTATATTAACTCGTGTGTAGTTTACTTAGCATCATATTGAATTAATCTTCGTCAAAAAAGTTTTGCCGTTTGATTAAATCCAAATAATTTGGTTATTTGTTTGAAATACACTCGAGTAAAATAACAACCGAAGTTTGTCTATCAAATAAAAAGCCAACGGTTACATTTTTTTTTTATTGAAAGGATGGATACTGAAAACCGACATGATCGCTATTGCAGCTGTCATAATTTCATTGAAAACAATTTTTAATCTAAACTACAATGATTTTGAAAAAAAATATTTGATAACGTAACGCTGTAGAACCGTTGTTGACTATACTATTTATCAAATTCGGTTTATAAAGCGTTAAAATTTAATCATGTTGTATCGCCTGTGCTAGTTGTATACAAAATTAGAGTGGTTACAAAAATGAGATTAAACTATTATGGTATGTTATATTGAAATTATTATATTTTATATACTTACCTTGAAATGAAACCAAACCACGCTGTACAGAAATAATAATTTTATATGCTTAGTGATTATATATATTATAAACCCTCTCTTTAAATATTATATCCAATAAACCTATAATATCGAGTTTTGGAAATCCTACGCCTTGGCACATTGAGCCACCACACCACAAGAAATAAAAACAACATAAATATTTATTTAGGTAGAATAATTATACATTGGTAAAAATAAAACAGATATACAGTAAATTTACAATTATCCCACTACACATCATATGATTATAACTGCAGTCGCAAACAACTTTTTGTTTTTCATAAATAGTTGAATCTATGAATTGGTTTCCTTTTTTAAATTATTCAAATGTAAATTTTGACGAATGGAATGCACGTTCTTTCCGAGGATTATCTACAATTGCCCAATCACTTAGAACTACACCGCAATTAAAACATTGAGTACAATCTCTAGTGCCTAAGTATTTGAAACGAGTCTCGTACAAAGAAAATTTGTCTGGATATTTCAAAGTGTATAAATCAAACGTTTTCAATCTTGATTCAAATGTGGTAAACTCTGGATATTTTAGATTTCGATTATTGCGAATGATGTACAATAAATTTGGAAAATCATTTGAGTATTTCGATAAATTCATAGTGAAAAAAAAAAAAAAAACGTTAATATTATTTCACTAGTAACATAACCGTATCAGAATAATAACTAATAATAATCAATTGATGCTTTATGTATAACAATCAGGAGCCGATTGTTCGCTACTTCAAATTATCGTTTCTTTATAAACTTGTGTACAACTAGCGTATCACCGTGTACAATGTCATGTAATAAATGGTTCATAATAATATTGAAATATACTTTTTTTTTGAGATGAAAACAAATCTAAAATAAGTAAAATATTTTCTACTTTATTCGTTGATTTATCAATATTAAAAATAATATCCTCATCTTTTTCGTATAAATCTATATTACATTTACGAAAAAAATACAATTTAATAAAACCAGTTTAAAAACATGAAAAAATAAAAATAAAATTTAAAATATGAAAAAATAAAAATAAGTGGTAAATTTTGAATGGAACGTTCTGATGCTCCAAAAGAAGCCAAATCAGGGAGATCAAATTTTTCGGTTTTATGTAACGGTTTATTGCTAAAGTAAGTCTTACAAAAACGGTGGGTCTCAAATTTATTGTCAAATCAAAGAGGCCAAATTATCAGGTTTTATGCAGCGTTTTGTTGCACAAACACATACTACTCAAGCGATAAAATTGTATCTTCGCAGTGGAAAACTGGCGTTGCAATAATTTATTTATTTTTGTATCTTAAGTTTTCTTTGTAAAGGTTGTTGCGCGGTAAAATAATAATAAAATTCATAATTCGATTTTCGAAATATTTTCGTTAGAGTTGGTTTTTGAAAACTGCAAAAACCACACGAAAAATTTAACTGGGTATTACTTATTTGTTTTTTTCTCGAAACTTTATGATATATTAATTATATTTGCAGTTATTGTTATGTTTATCAATGTTATTAATAAAATTGCTAATTTGTCTAAATTTGATCGGTATGAGCGACCAACATACTGGTCCTATTTCCTTGGTCTTTGTAATCGGTGTTACATCTTGTTATTGGGCTACAACCTGCTTATCGAGTTTCTTTTAACTGGTACCATATTTTGTCCCATTTTGAGATGCAATTCGTCTTGTAACTTGAGAACTTGGGCACTAAGATCTAACTCCAGCTCCTCTTTCTTTTTAATTTCATTCTTTAAATCTTGTGGTGTGTCGATCTTCTTCTCTCGAGTATTTTCGTGTGCACAATTCCACTGGATGTTGATTGTTGGTAGATACGTAACGTACCAATTATTTATAAATAAATTGACGATTTATCGTAAAAAATACGGATTTCCAAAACACTAAAATTATCAAAACAATATAATACGATATCTATCCTTATGTTCTCGGTAAAATACCAACAAAAGATTTTGAGATTTAAAAAAAATAAACCTGATACGAATTGATCGGTACCTATGTATAGTTTTGAAGATAATTCTGTAAGAAAAACAAAGGTATTTTTCTTTTTATATATGTACAGCGAAATTCTAAATAATTAAAATTTTGTCTTGTTATAGGATTTAAAATGAATGGAATTAATGAAAATGTGTGTACACGATGAACTCGATAACGTCGTATACGTTCTGATTTAAGACTTTAAGTTCATGGTGTGTATTGTATTATTTGTATAATGCATATATTATATTATATACGAATCCTTTTAAAGACCCGGAAGAAAAGGTTAGGGAATTAATTTTGTACGGCTTTTTTAATAATAAAAAAAAATAATAATAATAATAAATGTTTTTATAATAAACGATTTTTTATAGTATTAGCACACAATTGCACGTACTTGATAAACATAATGCAGACTCATTCTAGGCCTTTTGTGATAGTTATTAACGTGGTCATATGGTTATAATAATAGTAGCAGTAACAACAGAATATAAACGAAAATAAACAGCGGAAGAAGAACGACACACCCCAAGAGGTAAGAGAATGAAATGAAGAAAAAAGAGAAGACGGAGTTACATCTTAATTAAATAAGAAAAGAAGTCAGGAAAAAAGCCTATGTAACATGGGAAATCGACAAGGTACTAATACCACGCCGGGTACATACACCGAGAGGACTATATTAATGTGTGACCGACTGGCGGAAATGAATATGGGGAAAAAGGCACTACAAGTCTTAAATTAAATTGTAACTGTCAGAGCGAAAACGAAAATCACATTTTGGACTAAACGTTAAAAGCATAGTGACAGAATATCCGTTAATAAAAGTACAAGAGCTGAAAAAAATACTGGCACACCGGGAATTCGGAAGTTTTCCCGATTCACTGGACCGATTCGTAAGCAAATAATGTTTAATCTTTTTTCTAATTATTGTTTAATTTAATAAACAAATTGCGAATTTTTGAATGTTTTTCGATAAAAAAAAAAAGTAAGAAAATAAACAATAGAGACGGTTATCTAGATTAGGTATCGCAGATTAGTTGAAATGTTATTTTAATGTTTTCATTTGATCTATGGTATTATTTTGTATAATTATTATCACAATTAGCGTTATATATGTTTTCATGTATATTATTATTTACTATGTTCGCGTCGTTCATCGAGCACAGTGTTTATAACATCATGCAGTCATTGATGTTTAAACCTCACGCCGGTTTATTTACTATTTTCCCGCACCGAAATATTTTCCCGATCCGCCCCTGGTAAAGGTAATGTTTCATTGAGAATTTAACTTTTGTTGCGACACATGATATTTATGACTACGCAACTGATAATAGAGAGCGTGTTGGATATTTTACAAAAATGGTTACCTAAGTGAACATATTTGAACTAGGTACCTAAAACGAATTACAAAAACGATTCTCAATGAGCGAATTTCGGGCGTTGGTCAATTAAGTCCTAAACGAGTTTTTCAAAATTGGTAAACTGAGTCTCTCGTATAAAAATGAAACGATATAAATACATTTTTGTGTACTTCATACACATTTATCAGTTAATCACACACGGAGTACGCCATTTCAGACGGAACGCCTTTTTGTAGATTCTTACTTAAATGTTGCGTATTAATACTTCGTATTTGGGAAAAATCGACGACGATTTTATTTTCTAGGGACACAATTACCTACTGTAGATTAGTTTTCAAGATTATCTATACGTGGCGTGATCGCGCACCATCAGTTATTGCGAACAATATATAACGTATACATACCTACACCAACTTTAGAAGTAATACAAAATGAATAAAGTAAAAACAATTTATTAATTTTGGTTTAATAAAATTTAAAAATATAAAATCCAGCGTTGAACTTGTTCCTTGTATTCATGTAAATGTTGTATCAAAATAAATGGTTCCCAGGGACTCAATTTATCGCTTTCAATTTTTTAGGCAGGACTCAATTTATCTTAAAAATAATAAAACGGGACTCAATTTACCAAATCCGCAGATTTCAGTAATTTTTGAAAAGTTTTGAAATGCCGTAATTTTACGATTTTCGTTAATATTTGAATTCAAAATTCTTAAATAAAAAACACTATTAGCTACATTATACACTTTTTTTTTGTCGATCACTAAATACAACTTATAATGAACTTCCTGTTCAATTGCCAGCATTTCTTTTTGATCAAACAGTTTTATTTACATAGTAAACCTATCAAATAAAAATCACTAAAATGTTTTAAAAATTTGATCACGTCTAGAAAAGACAAGTTTTCACTTAAAATATCAAGGCTAACGAGTATTTTAAACTGGATTACAGCAAAACAACAAAATTGAAAATAATGAAATTATTCCGTAAACTTTTCCGTTCTTTCTACGTTTTTTCCTGGTTTTTCTTATTTATTGAGAACACTGCACGGAAAATCAAAATCATTCTTATTCACCAACTAGATAGATAATACGACAAAAAAAAATCAGTCGGAATTTTCGGATTGGAGCAAGATTTCTGGTAGAAAATTAATCGCAGACACACAAACAAAAGCATACCTCGTAATAAAATCAATAGACCCCTCGTTATGTTCAGAATCTAGGAAACACACACCATAGTGAAGCCGATAGATTCTTCTTCGCTCTGCTCAGCATCTAGTATCCGTGTCTTCCCACATCGCTGACTCCCATTTTGGCGACATCTCACTTTGCCGACACTAACCTAACCGGTTTTATAAAGAATTAAAAATCTTCCCATTTCGCCGGCACACAAATCGGTTATATTACTATTTTGAATTGAAATACCATTGTTTCAATGAAATTATTATTACTAAAGAAATTTCAGCGGCGCAATCGTTGCATGAGCGTAAGTAAACATATAAATTTAATATCATCGAAAATACAACTATAGACAATAACAATACGTCATCAACGATTAGATAGATGTTTAAAATAATTTTTCTTATTATTTTCGTAATTTAAGTTTAGTACAGTTTTGCAATTTAGTGCAGTGACAATTTAAGAAAACTAGTGTAATCTCTGCAAAAACGACGGGTTGTTTTAACATGAGCTATAGTAGGATTGGAGTCATGAGTAGGTGTAATTCAAGCAACGTACGTCAAAGGTAAGTATTAACAAAATAAAATGTCGACAAAACGGGAACCGGTGGTGCGCGAATGATCTATCGAACGGATCAGTTAGTATTTGTTTTTTTTTAAATATAATTCTGAAATTAAAACGAACGGTTTCATTCGTTTGATTAGTGAAATGTATAAATACCTATCTAATAAGATTACCGGGAATTCAAATAGTCGTATACGATAGAAGCCCTCGGGAGAAATTTATTTATTCGGACACATCAGAAAAACTTATCTTAAAAATGGCATTTAAAACATAAAGTTTTATAAATGATAACATTAGATATTGTTTTTGTTCAATTTTTATCGAAAATAGATCTTATTGCAATGCGTTGTTTCTGTTACATATACATATATATATATATTTTTTTTCCCCCTCAGTACTTTTGGGCACTTTAAAGACTCCCTCTAGACCAAACTATTGTTTTTAAGTTGGCGATGTGATACAACTTTGATTGAAATCCAATATGTAATTAACAATATTGTTGCGAGAGGAAGTGTTTTTAGTACTTTTTTT